TTGAAAATTGGAAAACCAGAGTCTTCAGGGAAGGCTTATCCTCAGGATTTTAAAATGAGAGAGGAAGAAAGTGAGAAATTATTTGAATAGGAGAGAAATTGCAATACCTTCACTGTTATATTTAAGAAATAAACAAGAAAATCAAGAAGGAAAAGCTAAGGAGTAACATTTATATGTTTACATTAATGATAAAGTTGGCTTAAAGAAAAAAGGTCATCAAAACCTGATTAAAGCACTCTGCAGATCATATTCTGTGATTATCTCAGCCCTTATATGACTTCTCAATCTGCTTTAGACTAAAGGTCGTTCTCAAGCTTCCAACTACCTTGAAATGGGTTATTTTGATAGTTCCATGTCATTACCAAAAAAATTACTTTTAACTTGACCTGAAAACAAACAGGACTGCTTTTTACTGCAACAGGAAATACTGGGATTGGTCTTGCAGGGACTCAGCGGTTGACAGGAAGAAATTTTATTCCATTTATTCATACTTAGGGGCTAATGAATTGGGACAAGCATATGAAAGTTTTTGTCACCACTCTGATGAGTGCTGCAATTTTAATACCACAACTTATTCACATGATAGTACCAAGAGAGCTTTATTTCAAGATCATCAGTAATTACTGTTGGAGTCAAAGAGGGGACTCCATAATCCCCACAGTGGTGCCCACTTGAAGCCTGGTATTGGTTGCTGTATCTCAGGAACAACTAAACTCCCTTGAACTGAAGGAGTCAGGCTGCCACATCAGTAAAGCCTTCTGCAAAAGCATGAGCTGGAGCTAAAGCACTGATATTTTTCCACATGCATATTGACTATTAAGCTGAGAAAACAATCAGGAATCATGGGATATATGTAAGATTGAGTTGATCATTACTGTGTCTCAGTCAGCCACAAGAAGACTGTAGACATCCAGACTGAAGCAGTGCTACAGGAAGGATCACACTGTGACAGTGTGACTGCTCAGAGCACTAAACAGCTGTGCATCACACTTGTATTTTCCAGCATATATGTGAACATCCCTTTTTGCCATGCTCATTGTATGGCAACTATAAAAGCGCAGATTTTCGTTATGGAATGACTCTGATACAAGACAAATAATTTCAAAACATTTTCTCCTAGAGTAAGTTGCCAGAATGTTTTCCACATTGCAAATCCTTGTATCCTCTGAGCTCTGAAGCCTGTTTCTTGAAAATGAGAAAAATTCCCAGGAGGATTTGTTTGAGGCATGAAAGGTTTTATCCCAAACAGTTGCTTATAGTTTCCTTAAAATAAATGTTACGGCGTACCTTATACCTGCCAGTTCTCCACTAATTCTTCATGGGCCAGTTTGCACAAGTTCAACACCTTCTTACTGTATCTCTACCATCCACAGAAAGTACCTCTATGCCATTGCCATTTCTCCTACCATATCTAGTCTTTGCCAGGTTATCAAAACCCCTGTAATATCATGAGACAAAAAACCAGAAAGAACAAGATGATTTTTTCTGACTAAAGAAATATGGACAAGTTAAATTTTTTATGAAGACTCTAAGGTAAATATTTCCATAGCCAGTAATTCACTGCTTTAAATCACCCATCCTTATGATGATGAATCAATAGGCCTTACAAGGAGGTTGAGGGAAACCTAAAAACAAAACAAAGTTTGCAACATGAGTAGCCACCTTATATCTTACAGTGCCTCCTCTTTTCTTCCCTCCCCTTTCATTTTAGACATCTGCTCACCATAGTCTTCACAAGCAAGTTTTCTCCTCTCCATGTTTTCCTTTTTTACCACATTTAAACCTTATTTAAATAGAAAGTGAGATATTTAAATAGAAAGGTGAGTGCTCTCTTTTGGGAAACAATGCCAGATAGCAAGCCACATTGGTCATCCTGAGGTAGTACTTGGAGGTGTGCTTTGTACAGCTGATGTCCTTGACCCAGATCCTCTCCATGTCCATCCAAGATGATAAGACACTCTTGAGAAATCTCATTTAACTTTTAGTGTTGGATTAACTGTTATACACTTTATTAAATTTCTAAAAGCACTGAAGCAGTTTGCTTAATGCCCTAGTAACCAAAGCATAGTGATCCATGGAAATCTCTTCAGCACTGCTCTGTCCAGGTTCCTACACTCAGCTTCTGAGCATCTTCCAGCCTGGCATAAGAAAACACAGCTAAGGTCTGTCACAAGCTGTTTGTTCCAATCTCTGCTCCTCACTCTCCCCACCCCCATCCCCCAAGCACATGCAGCAGAGTGCTTGGCTTTAGCAGCTTTTTCCCCCTGAGAACATACATCCTACTACGGTTCTGCTATAGTTTGGATGATATACAACTTGTTCTTGGGATTTGTTTTGTTGAAAGCTACAGCAATCTCTAGCTTGCAGGAGAACATGTTTCATTGTTTTGGAGAATGTCCCAGGAAAGATTCATCTTCTTTCCAGACTTGCATGTGCAAGCACACTTACTGACTGTGGGAGACCTGCAGGCTTGGCTGACAACTCACCAGGATGTCAGCATAGAGGAGTGGGCAACAGGTTAATTGAGAGCCTGAGACTCTTTAGACAGAGTCTAAATCCCTGCCCAGTGCTACCATTGCTAAAGGTGCTACAGACACAGCTGCTCTGTGGCAAAGCCACAGGAGTTACCTCTGTGCCAACTGGTGTCTGCAGTGCTGAGAGACAGTGAAAGTGCATAGAATCAGGTGAGCTTTGCAACAGAAGCAACATCCACACAGGGCAGTGCCCAGGGCAGCCAGAAGAGGGCTGCCTGCAGCCCTCCAGACAGCTCCACTGCTTCTGGAGCCCAGGGGAATGGTCATGCTGCACCAAATTGCCCCACATGAAATGCAGAGAATAGTCAGCAATTGCCAAGTGTGCGTGGAGGAGTTCACTGTGCACTGTCACATGAAACAAATATACCCTTTGAGAACAAAATAAGGGTAATCTGCATCTGCTTCCAACACAAGACATGACCCCCATTCAATTTCGAAAACACTCCAGAGCTAGCTACTAGGAGTTTTGCTTGTTAAAAATGAGGGTCTGCAGAAGCTTACAGAAACATCATCATGTAGACTGTGGGTGTGGCATGACAACCATCCTACCCTCCAAGAGCTGGTGTTGGAGAGGTCTTGCTTGCTTGCAGTGCGTTGAGATATTTTGTTCACATGACACCCATTGTTGTACCAGATGACAAGGTTGAATAAACTTGTCATCCCCAGATGCTGCTAACCAAGCACTGTTAACAGTTTAGTGCTGCCCTGAGAAAACCTGAGCCATTTTCTCTAGCATGCTATTAAACAGCAGTTCCTCTCCCTCTTTCACTGCTGGTTGGTATGTAGGGCCCTCCTGCTCATGCTCTTTTCTCCCCAAAATCTCTGCAGAGCCCAGCAGGGGTAGGACTTCAGTTTTTCTGCCCTGGGAAGCTAACACCAGCAGACCTTGCCCACTCCCCAACACTGAGACAAGAATTTTCAGCACAATTGCTAAAATCCACTTACTCTCCCAACTCTTCAGCTTTAAGCATATTTTCCTTGCATTGAGATGAAATTTTCACTCACTAAAGAGTTTTCAAGTTAAACAGATCTGGTTCCTCCTTCCCAAAGCCATTTGTCATGTCTTTCTACTTTACACAGAAACCAGTTGCACCAATAAATGTCCCCTTCCCTAGAGCTGCTGAGTAAGTTTATTTAAGAAATAAAAGCAAAACAGATCTTTTTTTCCTCTCTTCCTCTGCTCCCAGCTATTACATTTCATGTGGAACACGAGAGTTTCTCTGAACTCTCTTCACCTGGAAGTCCAGAATGCTTTGATGAAGTCCCACAAGGATCCCAGATCTGCAGCTGAGCTCCTACCAAGGGAGCTATCAAAGAGGCCACACACGATGTGAGTTTCTGGGCAGATCAGAGGTTTGTCCTCAGGAAGTCACACACCAAAGGACTGCAGTCAGGCAGAAAGATGGCTCATTTCAGAGGGCCACACTGGTCTGTCAAATCAGCTTCCTCAGGTGAGAGTGCATCACCTGGCATGAACTCCTGTCAGCCTGCACAAGAAATAACCCCCTAAACAGCATGTGTTGTCATTCTCCACAGGGGAAGCACACTTCTGCAGTGTTTTTACCTCTCATTATCCACAAGGATCCCTGACCAGTTACACTGTGATTTCTGCAGCTTGTCACATTCATTTCTCCCTCACCATTCTTCCACTCAGACTTTCTCCATAGGAGGTTCACTCTCACCATCATGGAAGGGCTGGATTTGCTTGCCTATCTCATAAGTGCTTTCAGTTCATTTCCCTGCTTCTCTTGCTCCATCTACTCCAGTGACTTGTAAGTGGCTTTTCACCTGCATGTTTTAGGTAAGCAGATTACCAGATCATTCTCATGGAAGCTCCTGTGTTTGGAGAAGATGATAGAGAAGCAGCTAAATGAAAATGGGGTGAGGGGGGTCTCTATTTCCTGATGCCATTTGTGTAAGAAAGAGTTCAATATCCCACTCAGCTGCTTTCCACTGTAAGACTTAAAAACACTGATTTTGACTTACAAACAACTGTGAGAAGTGAGAACTCAGTTAAGGTAACAGAGAGCTGCATCCTCCCATTTCTGCCACAGCCTCACCCTGCAGCCTCTGGCAAGGCTCTGAATTTCCTTGTTCAGCTCCACTCTACAAGTGCCTCCCCAGAAAGATGGCAGAGAGAGGCAGTGTTAGAAGCAGAGGATGCTTTCTTTTCAAGGTACATGCTTTGTATGAGACTTAGAGAAGTGAAGGGAGATCCTCTTTGTCACACTTATTTCAGGAGCCAATACCTGATCAATCCAAGGCTATATTTAATGTGTGTTTCCTCTAACAAAACAATTCTAAAGCTATCTTCTCCTTGTTGCTAGTGCTGCCAAGCTGAGTCACTTTCTTAAAGGCTAGGTGGAAGGTCATGGGGGTCCTTACTGCTTCAATAAAAGGAACTTTATTACGAGCTGCTCTTGCCTTTTTGTTCTCCATTCAGTAAACATGGCAATGCCATCTGATTAATTCATTTCTGTAAAAGAGGTATCTTATTTTATAGCCTTGACACAGACACATGGCATTGCCATGAAGAAAAGAGACGCATGGGATAAAACAAAAAAGCTTCCGGTGTTGGTCTTCTACAGTCTTTCATTTAAATTGGAACTTGCTTCCACAGAGCTGCCTTCAGAGACACCAGCAAGAGGAGATCTCCATCCTGAAAGTGCACGTCCTCAGCAGTGTCTGCTGGGCAGGCATTGAAATGTGGGTCTATAACTCCCATATTTCAGACTTGCCAGGAGAGCTAGCATGTGAGCAGAGCTGATATAGCTGGAGGGAAAATAAAGTAAATGCAGAGAAGAAAGAGTGAGAAGAAGGCACTCATGTCTCACTTTATGAGATCCCCTGCTCCCAGAGTGAAACTCATTTCTTACACTAAGTGTAAGCAGCATGTGGCTGTTATTCCATGCTGCTTCAGACTCTCAGCCTTCTTTGCAACACATCAACCTGGAATAAGCGACCCTATGAACAAGGACACTCTCACATGGTCACACTGCATTAGACATTACACGTCTATACAGGACCAAGTCATGTGCAGAAGAAAAAAAGATGAAAAAACGAGGAAGGAGGGAAAGATTCCTGCAGAGAGAAATTCCACTGAACTACTTATGGTTCCCGTCCAATTCTCTTCAGAGAGATGTATCCCTTAGTATAATATTTCCATCAGTGAATGCAGTTTTCCAGCTCATCCTTTGCCTTTTTAAAATTCAGGTTAGCAGGTAATAATCTGCTTCTTATACAGGCAATAACATGATCCCAGATTAAGGCAGTGTGTGTTAGGGCTGGATTCAGCCACACCATACCTGCCAGGGTGCCCACAGAGCCATGCTCCTCACATGCCAGGATCAAGGGGGTGAGGATGCCTGGGGCAGACAGGGAGTCTAGACTCTCCTGCCCTAGGGTATGCAAAATCCTGCCAAGGCCATGTTGAGACTGTTTAATCCTATTAAAGCATAAGCTGGAAGTACACGATACTCATTAAAAGAAAATAGCTTGCTTTGTTCCTGAGATCTAAACCCCACAGCAGCAGACACTGTGGGATAACCCACCATTATTGATCTCTGCAGTCAGGGCTTGCCATTGGCTTGCCATTCCCAGCTCCACTGCCTGAAGAAATCCCATAGACCTGCTCTTTGCTCACACAGGTTTAGGGTCCCTTCCCAGGACAAGTGCCAGAGCACATGTATTTCCAGATGGAATTTGCAAATATGGGAGCCCAGCTAGTCCTCCAGCTGCTGCTTTACAGGCACACAGCCATACAGGGTAAGCCAGTGGTCACTGTGCCCACACTGGCCTTCTCACTATTTAAGTATGGAGCAGACAAAACCAGGCATGTCTTCTATCCCCCACGCTGGATGTGTTCCCTAGTCTGTCAGTGTGGCTGCTGACTTTGCATGCACAGTTACAGAACGCTAGAAGCAGAGTGCACAGAAGCCTTCAGGCTAGGGAAGAAGGAAAAAAAATACTAGCTGGTTATGTAAGTCAATAAGTAAATCTGTTTAGGAATAGGAACCATTTATAAAAAGGTGGAGAAAAAAAAATCAAGAAAGATGGGCTGTGAAAACTCATCCAGATGAGTATGGAATGTATGGAAGGGACAGGAATTCTATGGCATGGGATTCAAGATTTAAAATAGTTTTTGTTGTTAAACTTAGTAATACCGGAAACATGAAGAAATTTTCCTCTTCCAGAGCTGTTTATTTTTAAGATACTAGTGCTGCAGTACAGCACACATTGGTTAGATACCATCTTACTAAGGAAGCGACAAAATCATCATTGTTACTTTTATTCATTCCACCCATAATGAGTTGAAGCAATTCCTTCCAGTCTCATGCCATTCAGAAAGACAGAGTTGTTTGTATCCAAGTAACCACTGCTGGCACTGCAGAGCTTGGTGCAGGTGAGTGCCCAAAGACACATTTCCCTGAAGCTCATGAAAGGACCAGGAAGGAAAGGGCCAATCCTCCTGAAGCAGTAACACATCTGAACCTATAGATATCAACACATTTGTCTGACCACATTCCCCAGAGAAGCCTTGTGGGGGTGTTTAGATACTTGTCTGCTTTGTGGCTACATGGAGCTGCTCAACAAAAACCTCTCAAAAACAAATAGGAAGACAATCAGGAAGACAACAGCAGCAAGAGGAAGACAGACATGCACGTCACAAAGAATTAAACAGTTGTCATTTCTTCATCCATGTTTCCTGTCTTGTTGCTCTGCATCCCTAAGTACTAGAGCATCACCTTCCTGTCTTCTGTTATCAGAAAGCCTGCCCCTCAGTAGTGACCATAAAACCTGTTATTTAAAGGGACTATCACCTGATTTTTCTTCCCTGCCCCCCCAATCAACTGAGCTGTCATTCTTTCCTCCCTCTTAATGCTTGCCTCAGGTAACTTCCCTTTAGATCTTCACTAAGACTATTAATTCACTGTGCTGCTGAAGAGTCACCATGGATCTTTCCGTGGTCTCTGCATCCACTAACAGTTTACACAAAGCAGAAGTCCCCCATTCTCTGTACACAGGAATGTCTTTTTTAAAAAGTGATGTTGTCTAAAACAAAACATGAATTCTTTTTTACCACAACAAAAAAAATTACACAACACTGCTTCCACATAGCCAACCGCAAGTGGTTTTTTTTTTTCCCAGAACCCATGCAGTCAGTTATTTCTTAAGAAGGTGCTTTCTATGCTCTCCAAGGCAGTATTCATACTATCCCACATATTCTTGCTGTTGCTATGGAAATCATTCCTCTGTAAGCTGATGTGCAAATGCAGGTCTCATTGCTGAGTAGGGAGGCTAAAGGTGTGCATGAGTCAAACTATTTGTTGTACATTATTCCTCTGCAGCCTCACTGCTGCTGGGGAACGGGAAACAATTAATGTCTGCACTGAGAGTGCCTGTAACAAGGAGCTGTGGAGAGAGTTAGCAGGGGTGTTAGCAATGCTAGAGAGTCACAGGAAGGCTCTGGCTGTTGCCTACAGCCAAACACAGTTTAGTAATCCAGCTCACCTGCTCTGGGTGCTAAGGAAGGGACAGGATTCAGGCACAAGAGGTACAAAACATCATTCATGGTGGTTTTAAACATTTCAGGGAGAAAGTAAGTCATGATGCATCATCATAGATACAAGACAGACAGTACCCTTTCCCATCTATAGGCCTATAATTATTCAAAAAAGTCAATGATAAAATTAGGTTTTTGACAAGGACCTGCTGGTGGCTACAGAGAGGCAGAGGCTTTTAAGTCTGGAGATCCCTCCAACTCTGGTGAAATAGCAAGACCAAAGGGGAAAACACCTACAAAAATCAAGCTTCTTTGCATATGATATTTGGCAACTCAACTAAACATGGTTTTTACACTCTTTAATACCTGTGAATAAGCATTAAGGTGAGCATTGGAGTACTTCCAGTCAAAACACAGCTTGATGCCAGCAGGCACTCTTCAGTAACAACCACTGCCCTTTCACAATGTACCTGCTGCCTTCAGGACTCAGCAACCCTTTACCCTGAGTTGAGATGAACCCCTCAATGATGAGCTCCTCTGTGCCCCGTTCCAGCCAAACACAGGTACTTCTCTGCATATGGGAGGCTGTGTGAACATTTCAACACAAACATCCCGCACTCGTTTCTTTCCCCCTCCCCTGGAATACTTGGCAGTAATTTCCATAAATATATTGAAACAAGTAGTACGTCTCAGGGTAGTCCCCATGCCTTGGTGGTTTCTTAGTTCATCCCTTCTGCACCCTGGGGGTAGAAACTGGGATGAAAGATGGAACAAGGCATGAAATGAACTCAGATTTATAGTAGGTTTTTAAGGATGAATAGGGGTTTGTTTGGGTTATCTTGCAAGTGTTAGAGTGACCATCTGAATATTCAAGATTTTTTTTTTCTTCAAACGAGGAACTATAAGGCTGTAACAAAGAAATGCAGATTCATCAAAAAAGCAAATGTGGCCTTTTTTTTTTTCTTCCTTCATCCCACTGAAAAGACTGCTATTGCAGAAGATTGACAACTAGTTCATCACACAAACTGAAGGTTTGTAGTCACATCTTATCTCCTTTCTTACTGCTCTACAAGAAACAGGTGTGTTCTACCAATCCTCTCCTCTGAATTATCTTTTGTCATAGACATTAAAGAACTCTTAGAAGCAAGGCAAGCAACTTAGAGTTACAGAATCACAGAAGTTTGTGAAGTTTTTACACCACTTTTCCCTTCTGTTTTGGTCAGTCACCATGGGGCAGCTAATTAAAGAACAGATTCCAAACACACAAACAGAAGTCTGAACTTCTATACAAAATCTCAGATCACAAAGACAATAATCTCAAAACACAACTCCTTTGAGGCACCATTACATATGACAATTAAACACAAACAGAGTAAACAGGCTACAGCATATTACTCTAAAGAAAGCAGACAGATCTCACTCAACTATAGCTCAAAACATAGGCAGCACTTACTTCAATTCAGGGCTAGAAGCGAGTCTGTTATCTCCCAAAGCTGATGCACTCCTACTTGCTTTCCCACGTAGAGGTGGCCTGCTCTCCTCTCCTCTCTTATGAGCTACCTGGAGGGGGTCAGCTGGTCCGTGGTCCTTAGCAGAAACACCTGCTAGTTCAGCACAGCTTGCTAGCAGAGGGCAGGGGTGGCTGGAATTTTTTACAAAAGAAGAATCAGTTAATGGTTCTTTATAAATATTGTTGTAGTTTTAATTCTTCATGAGCTATAATGGGCATTTTTGTGGTTAAAAATAACTTACTTGCTAAATACCTCCTAGCATTCTAATAAACTATTATACCATTTATTGAAAATGCAATGATAAGCAAATAGAAGTGCTTCTAGTTGCTTTAAGAAGATATGGTATGAATGTGAATAAGTTACATTAAATCATACTATCATAGAGAAGTATCTTGTGATTTATAAATTCCTACCTTATATAAATTAGTGCCACACAATTCTGCAGCCCCATGGATAGTTGTCTTTTGTGTTGTGGTATGAACAACCAACCTCAAAAGCTTCCAAATATGTGAGTGGGAGTTGGAGAATACGAATGAGATAGGAAACCAGAGGGGTTTATTTCAAGAACAGTTTAGTATGTTAGAATATAGTATCAGAGTTTAGAGGTTTTGGCTTAGAGATTCACTTTCACTGTCTCATTTGAAAGGGTGTAAAAGAAACACTGAAAGGATAGTAGAGATATAGCAAAGAGCAATGTCTACACTTGCACTTAATATAATTAATCACCATTCCTGTTATTTTTAGTATGATGGCATTCATGATGAATCATAGTGTGAGTGCAAATACAAGAAATGTGATTGTGAATGGATTTGGTACAATCTGTTTATGACACTCATAAGTGCAGACACAAAGCCATCGTCAGAGGGACTAGGAAGGATTCTTTTCATGTACATGACAGCCAAAACCTATAATTTTAAATTCTGAACAAGTTTCTAAATTTGCCAATCATTAGGGCTATTTTTTTCTTCCTTCTCAGGTGCATCATTTCATGTAAACTGATTGTTTCTTGGTATCCAGTTCAGAGACTGAGTCTGAGCTGAAATGCTCCTTAAAATATTTGATACTCTTTTGTAACAAGTGAATTTAAAAATACAGATCAATCAAATGACAGATTGAATTCAATAGTTTTCTAGGAATATTTTCTTCAACTACAGAACTAAAACCCAAGTCAAACCAGAGACAACATTCTTGCAAATTTTAAGAAACCTTATGTTTTCAGGGATTTCTTCATTATAAAATGAAAGATTAAATTAGTACATGTCAAGAGACAGGATGCACATCAGAGAAAGGGGAAGAGGCATTACTGACTCAAGTTCTGCTAACTTTCAGTTTTACCCTGGGACAGACAATATTTTTCTGCTTTGCATGAGGAAAAGTCCTTTTAGCTATGGAAAAATTACTCAAAAAGGACTTCTACCTGTCATCTCTCTGTAGCAATTAAACTTCAATTTATGTGTGTGATGACAACAGGGGACAAAAAATACACATTTCTGTGCCAAATCCTAGAATTAAACTGCAGGGAAAAAGAAAGGCTGGTCAGCATTTGAGAAGCAGTATCCTTTACATCACACTGTGTATGAAGTACACCCTAAGATATCAAAAGCTCTCAGCTCTGATTACCTCCCACAGGAGTCTAGTGATTCAGCACTGGGCAAATGATCTCAGCACATTTCAGGATGAGGCCATTTCCCTACTTGATAGCAAATACTGCAGTGGCTCTCTAAACTGAGTCTATACACATAAATATGCTCGAGTAAATCCCACCATCAGCACATCATCCCAAAACTGGTTCTCTCTTGGCTGAACATTATGCAACTTGGCTTCACTTGACCAGCAACACACCCTGAGGGTCAGATATAGGGGAGATATTTTCATCTGACTAGACTGTTAGTGAAACCAAAGGCTATCCATCTTTCCCTGCCACTCCCCTTTGTTGCTGGATTTATTTTGCGACAACATTTGTCCTGTAAACAAGAAAGAACTCATGTGCTTATTTTTGTAATTGTAAAAATAATCCCAGAACCTGTTGAAGGTTGCTAGTGTCTAATACAATGTGTCTTGTCCTTCCACAGGAGAGGAACTGGGCTCTAGTTTTTTTTGTCTTACAAAGCAAAGAAAGCAAGTAATGTTTTCTTCTGGCTGAGCTTTTGGCCTTGATTTCAAATCTCTGTCCATCAAATCTAGATTTAGAGCTGGAAAAAGACAGACACATGATTATCAGATGAACCAATTCTACTGACTCTTGGAGTGGTAATATACAACCTACTTCAAGAGGAAACCTCTGGTTATTTGAACTGTTGAACACAGCCAATTTGTTGTTTTCCCTAAGTCCAACATATCCAGGATGTGTCTGGACATGACACATGATCATACCAACTGTGCCACCCCCTTGTGCCTGGACTGAAATGCCCTAAAGGCACTGGAGCCTACAAAGAGCTGGTGCAGTGCGTGTTCCTAACAGCTCCCACGTGTGGGATGCACTGCACTATTGGTCACTGGCCTGCACTGCACCCCTACACAGTGGAGCAGTTTCTCTGTGTGCTTTACAGCTCCTCGGGCTGTTTGTGGCATCTCATTTTGTATGTTAACAAAAAGCAGATTTTTGTAAGATTGCAGAATTCTTTGAGTTGGAAAATTGAGTGATTCATGAAAATACTATTTCAGGTTAGTTCTACAGTGTAAATTGGTAGAAAGGCATGTTTTTCCCAGAAGACTGACTCAGGATTACTTTAAGAAATGAATTGCAGAGTAATAAAGTAGAAACCTCACATTGGTTGGTAGCAGCTCCCTCCATTCATCAACAGAATAAATCCTCCATATGTTTTCTTCTGATGATACCAGACATCAGCACAAAAGGCACACTGCCCTTAGAAGCCCAAACTTGCAAGCACTATGCAACAGGATGCGCATGTCCCTTGTCCTGCTGTAACCTGGAATTGAATCTGATTTAAATGCAATTCATAGACAGGGCTACTACAGTTACACTTTCTCTCTTGCAGTGAGACACAGTGGCAGCTACTCAGTCCTGGTATATCTGAAGTGGTAGAAAACAGTAACTTGATACAAAGAAGGCATCAGCAGCAGTCAGAACTCACTGCTCAGTGACAGCAGTTGGTGGTCTAGGAGTACAGCTCCAGATGATGTTAGGATGACAGCTCAGTATCCCAGCCACAGTGGAGAATACACAATTGTCCCCATATGACATGAAAGGTGACACTGTCCACAACACACAATTTTAGCCATTAGACGTTTGTCACGAATATCTACCAGCTGCAGCTGGGAATAGTTTCTAGTGCGAAGGTCTTGTGTTCCCTGAGCAGACAGAGTAGAAGGAGGATTCAGCAGCTGTTGCAGTTATTAGTCCTCAGTCAAAACTCTGCAAGCTTCTGACCCCACATGTTTTCCCTGGACTTAATGGCTCCATCAACCTGCAGCTGCAGAGGCTGTGGAGGTGGTGTTGCACTTGCTCTGATCAAGAAGTGTGTTTGCAGCTCCATGTTCAGATCCTCAGAGGAGCTGAGTTTGTCCACTTCTGACTGATGCTTCTAACAGTTACTTGGCTCCTCTTTCTCACTCGCGACTATTATGAGCAATGAATACCTCCCATCATTTTGTAAAAGATACTATTAGCAGCTATTCCCTTTTATTCCTCATGCTCAAGTCATCTTAATGAGGCAGAATGTATGCAAAGCTCACAGAGTTCACTGCACTAGTTCAGCCTAGCAAAAATCTCACAGATAAATGTCCTTGCAAACTGGGAAGAGATGATTGTGGAGGCTAGGCTATGTTTAGAACAATCAGCACTTAGTGAATTTTTCAGATAAGTTTCCTTTTCTCTCCTGTGAGCAGAACTGGTATTACTAACTTGTTCCTGTCGGCTGGGAAGTCTTGTGGTTGCATTTTTGTGTTTAGTGGACTTAGGAAAATACCATCCTGAAAGAGAGGTGAAAGGCCTCGACACAGAGACAAGTTGTGCACTTTAACATGATGATGTTTGTGGTCATTTGATTGCATCTAGGAATGCTTTCATTTGTATGCTCTGCTTCACGTGACAGTTCTTTATGAACCATCTCACTGGCTGACAGCACACAGATGGCAGGACAAAAGTGAGATAAATCTGCTGTGCGCTGGTCAAAGAGAGGGTGTAATGGTTGGTTTTCATCTTCAGTGAACTGAGGCAACCAATTCAAGTCCAGAATAACTATGGCACAGTGTTCTGCAAAGATGCTGAAGAGAGCACCTATTTCATGATTACTGGGTTTTCAAAAGGTGATTTAGACTAATTTATGATTTTGGGATTTCTGCTTTTAACTGATGATGCTCTTAAATAGCAATGGAATAGCTCAAGGGCTTCTTCTGTTAGCACCAATTCTGTTTTGGCCATATTAGCTTTCAGCCAACTGGGTTTTAGCCTGTTTAAGGTAAGAGCTGATTGTTGGGAAGTTTCATACTCATCTGTGGCATCTCAGGAGACTATTGATTTTAGGCAATAGACTTCAACTCATATAAGTTATGAACTGCACACTGCCTAGAAAAAGCAATAGATAAAATATCCTGAAATGCACAGGGAAAATTTACCATTTTGCCCCAAAACCTTTGAATTATTTGCTTGAATGAAATACTGGAATTATGAAAATTAAAAATCTGTTCAGTTTTGTATTTGTAGGCTTATATTTTAAAAAAATCTACAGGCACCACATAGACTGACTTCACCCGGCTGTAGCTTTGTCATGAACATGGAGGTACTCTCAGACCAAGAGCCTGCAAGTTACCTGATTCTGTTTCTGAGCTGGTATCGAATTCCCTTCTGGTTTCTGATGGCTAAGTAATTGCTACAGTCCACTGTGCTTGGTTTTATTTTCAGTAAGAAATGGGTACTGTAGTCTCTGAGAGTATTAGATCCAATTTTCAGAAGTGTACACTTCACTGGAGTACTTCGTGCCAAGTAAGTGATTTTGAGACAGTTCATGATGCAAAATGCCTTTTGTGTGCAAGGAAGACCAGCACCTCACTGCAAGTACAAAACAACTATGGAGGTGCTTCAAAACTTCAAGACCAGTTACCTTGGCATCTACAGGGGACAGAGTTTGCAACATTTTGCATGTTCGAAACTTTCCATTTTAGTCCTTCT